TATCTTTTGGGCTTTCTTATATATTAAAATTAAAAGTTGTTCATTTTATCATACACTTTAACAAACATGAAATTTCAATATCATAAAAATAAATGTTGGTACATTATTATTATTATTATTAGTAGTAGTAGTAGTAGTAAATGTTGGTACATTATTATTAGTAATAGTAGTTGTCGCCGTCGTCGTCGTAGTATTTTGAGTTGGAGTCTCTATCTCCCAGGCTGGAGTGCAGTGGCATACTCATACCACCACAGCCTCATCCTCCTGGGCTCAGGCAGTCCTTCTGCCTCAGTCTTCCAAGTAGCTGGAACTACAGGCACACACCAACATGCCCGGCTAATTTTTTGATTTACTGTAGAGACGAGATCTCGCCAGGTTGCCCAGGCTGGTCTCGAACCCCTGGATTCAAGCAGCCCTCTCACCTCCGCCTCCCAAAGTGCTGGAATGACAGAAGTCATGCCCAGCTGGCACATTATTTCACAATTTGTTTTTAGCAGTCCCACTATTTAGTGCTTCTTTAATACTCTTCTTCCCATAGTGTCAGTCTGTTTGGCATCATTTGGTATTCCATATTAAAACTGCAAATTCTTTTTTTTAGTTAGATAAAAATGAAAAAAAAAAGGGAGAGTAAAAGAAAATTTTCTTTCTTTGATTTTTCTTTTTTTGTTGAAGTTAACCATTTTTCACCTGCATTAGTTTTCAAGCAAGTGCTCTTACTTTCTTTTGAATCCTTATCCTATATAGTCATTATGCCATATTTATTCTTTAAAATGATCTGGCTTTTAATGAGATACAAGAGAACAACACCGGAGCCAAGACTGCAAAGAAATTTCTCTGCAAGCACTTGATCAAAGTCAAACAAAAACTCTGAGCTTAGACCTTTTCTTCATTTTGTGTACATAAACTTGCATTGTGTTGAACTCTGGAGATGTTTAGATTAGTAGCTTTTCTTTCTCAGCCCATTGTTGGGAGAAGGGGCAGCTTGGTTTCATGGAAGAGATTGCAGTGTAATATGCCTCGGGTGACTGGCTCATGATGTGAGGGCACATTTTAAAACATTCTGATTCACTCGGTATAACTCTGATAGTTTACAGTAATATCTAACCTCAAGTTATCTGACTCTTCACAAAGGCTTTAAAATTGCACATACCCTGCCCCCAACACACACCCTAAGCATGAGCACCTTGTACTCTGCCCTAAGTTTGGGCAACTTGTACTCTGTGACAGAAAATTGATTTTAATATTGTTTCTGAAAAATGTGTTAAATTTGTTATAATTATATCTACAGAATCTATTCTAAATAAGTAATTTAATATTATCCATGTTACTGTTTGTTCTGCTTAACTTAATTGACCGTTAATTGTAGGGACGAGATCTTGCCAGGTTGCCCAGGCTGGTCCATCAACTAAATATTTAATTTCATATACAGCAGTTTGGGGAGTTAGAAATAAAGTATATATTGGCTGGGTGTGGTGGCTTACACCTGTAATCTCAGCACTTTGGAAGGCTGAGGCAGCAGGATTGCCTGAGGCCAGAAGTTCGAGATGTGCCTGGGCAACATAGCAAGACTCCAACTCTACAAAAAAAATAAAAGTTTTTTACTTAGCTGGGCATGCATTAATTAGCATGCACCTATAGTCCCAGCTACTCAGGAGGCTGAAGAGGGAGAATTGCTTGAGCCCAGGAGGTCAAGGCTGCAGTAAGCCGTGATCAAGCTACTGCACTCCATCCTGGGTAAAAGTGAGACCGTATTTCTAAAAAATAAAAACTAAGAATATTTGGTTTACATATATACACTTTGAGGATCAATTGAAATGGAAACCTCTACTCCCTACTCTGTTAGTAAAAATGACATTAAATATCTAATAATTTATTTGATTAGCAGCAGTTAGTTAAAATTTTAACTTTGGGGGCAGGTCCCTCCTTTAATGGAGACTGACTTGAACTATAACTGAGATATTTTGGGAAAAAAAATGTTTAACTTATCAGCTAGGTCAATAAATAATAAAAATTATTGCTAGGTTATATAAATAGTACAAATTTATAGGCATCTGCCTTGGTTAACGGTTGTAGATGAAGGAAATTATTTATATCAAGGCAAATCAACAGTAAACTAATACGTAATTAAGTTTTTGTTTTTCAGTACACAGCATGAAATCTTTGTATAGCCTATTGATTATGCCCAACCAAAAAGACAGCAGTACAGAACAAGCACCCTACATCATGTTTCTCAAGAATGGGAGTCTTTTTTGACATCAAGCTATGTCATATATTGCATGATGGTAGTTTTGCTTTTGGTATTCATTATGTGAAATACTTGATCGACTGTTAGGAATTCAATAATACTTTCAAAATACTTTCAAGTAACTTCATACTTTATTAATCTAGACACTACTAGTGGACATTTAAAGTAGCACATCAATTCAATTTTGTTAAACTATGGAGAGTGTGTATATATATATATGTGTGTGTGTGTGTGTGTGTGTGTAATGGTATTTTTCTTGTTCCTTGAATGGGTAAAAACTTTACTAACTAGTATATGTGAACTGAAGTCTTTGGTCATTGATGTACTCAAGTAGCAGGAAATTCAGCAGAGGCAGCTGAAGGGAGAATTACAGTCATGCAACATGGTATATGCAACTTTTATTTTGAACTTGGTTTTTTAGTAGAGGGTCCTTGAACTTGCTTTCACTCCTCTTGTATAGTTGATATTAAAGAGATTTTTCGGAACAAAGGTTTAAACCCTTGTGATTTCATGCTTTTAAAAAGCAGTTTCTCCTTTTCTGTAGATGTTTTGTTATAGATTCAGGTTGTTGATAATTTTAACATCAGAAGAAGGAAATTGTATATACCTTCATTATAAGACAAAGTTGAAATTGTGTGTTTGGTCTTAATTGCTCGATTTCTCTATCAATGCAGGAAAAAAAGAGATCTGAAAAAGATTTTAAGTTAATCTAACACTTGAAACTTTGTGCAACTTTAATGAAATTCACACTCTACCTTCAGGATTTGTCACTCTGCTTCCTTCACATTGGGACAAAGCTTTCAAAATGGTGCATTGTTGATGATGAGTTTTAATACAACAGGCCTTTACTGCTATGATCATTATCACAATACAAAGTGTGAAGCAAGGAACATGATTGTTTAAAAACAGCCCTGGATATTCACTAGAGCTGCTTCGGTAGTGAGCCATGTGGTACTCTCTCTCCATTTCCTTCTCCCGACACAAGTATCTCTGCCCAAATTTTGCTAACCTTTAAACTAGTGACTTCTTTCCTACTGCTGCAAGCACCTTGTGGTCTACAAATGCTGGCCAGGTGGACTTTCTAGTTCTCAACAAAATTTAGAATGCTTGTTGTCAAATAGTCTGTTCCTCCACTGATAATAGTGCTTTTGTTCTGTACCATAAGGGAGAACAAACAGGACAACACTTCAAGATTGACTCCATTAGAAATTAGGGTATGTGAACCAAAAGAGTCAAAGAAGGAGAAATTGTAGTGCCTTATAATAAGCAAACAAGTTTCTGCTTCTGCCATAGTGAAAAAACCCCTTCCAGAAAACCATGTCTATTTGTTCTGCAGTGTCGTAGGCGGTACCTACAATATGCAGGTGATTAGGAGATACATCTCAAAAACTTCCCACACATTATGGTTCCTCTTTTTTGGCTGATGCAGTATTAAGGCTTTAGAGTAGGCGTATGACCTGATACTTGTCAGAATGTTGACATTCATCAGTGATTATCAAGAACAGCAGGAGCCCTGTATGAGAAGTGCCAAATTAATAGCTACAAATTGACTGTGTTGTGATTCTTTTTTTTTTTTTTTTTTGAGCTGGAGTCTCACTCCGTCGCCCAGACTGGAGTGTACTGGCCGCTCCCGGCCATCGCAGCCTCGACCTGCCAGGCTCCGGCGATCCTTCCACCTCAGCCTTCCAAGTAGCCGGAATTACAGGCATGCGCTACCACGCCCGGCTAGTTTTTTGATTTGTTGTAGAGATGAGGTCTCGCCAAGTTGCCCAGGTGGGTCTCGAACCCACGGGCTCAGGCAATCCACTCACCTCAGCCTCCCAAGTTGCGGGATTACAGGCTGAGCCACTGAGCCCGGCTATGTGTTGTGATTCTTGTGGCAAGTTTCTCACATACCCTGGTGACGTTTACTAGCAACTTTTTCAGCATTCTGCTCTGGATAAATGAATCTTTAATATACTTGGTATAGGTAAAAAATCTGGGAAAGATGGTGTATGGGCTGTTTTCTGTGTTCAAAGGAGAATTCAGAATATATACCATTTAACAGAATAATTTGATGGGCCTTAACAACTGTTTATTAAAGAGGTAACTACTGAGTACATGGCACCAGAAGGAGGAAAGGCTTAAGAGTTTTCTGTTGTACAAATAGCAGAAACAATATCTGCTCAAAAGAATTGTGGAATTCCGATTGCAAAAACATGAAGACTAAGTAAGTGCTTATTCATCTGCAGATTAATGGAAAAAATAAAAAAACAGAGTGTGTGTATCTCAGTGACAGGGAAAACATTTCAGTTTTTGTCATTAAATGGGATTTTTAAAAGGAAGGAAAATTTTTCCATGTGTACATGTACATGGGAAAATTTACAGGTGTAAAAGAATTTGATAAAAAGTTAACTTGATTAGTACAGACTTTAAGCAGGTGTGCGAAACAGACCTTTTTTTAAACTTAAATGTTAAGTTATAATGTCTTCTAAATTAAGATTTGGGTCCCCAACCCCCAACTGAATATACGAGTGACCTCATTTTCCTCTCCCACATTCTTTTATGAGAGAACTAGGCACAATATCCATCATAATTGTCTTACTTAAGGCAGGTAGCCTTAATATCACGAAATTTCTTTCTGTATTTTAACAGCCCAGAAATAAATATCCAGTGAACGATTGTCATTAACAAGCTAACTGATAATCATTTTTGAAAGCATGTAATTAAAGTGTACAGCACTATTAAATGTTTATGGTTTGCTTTCTTTTTATAGAGCACAAAGTAATTATAGTGGGACTGGACAATGCAGGGAAAACCACCATTCTTTATCAATTGTAAGTATGAATGCTTATTAAACAGTTTTTATTATTTTAGTTCTTGAAACTAATGTTTTTATAATTAATATGAATGAGATGTATTATAATATGAAATACAATGGAAAAATATAAACATATAGTTTTTTATTTTACCAAACAAATTTATAGAGACGTGAGTAAAATAAATAACTCCATGTTTGCTGAAACCTTGACAAACACTCATTGTTATCTGGTCTTGAAAGAATCAATATTAAACTAAAAGAAAGCACATGTTAAAGTGCTGGGGTGAGGTGATAAAGTGGATTTCACTTAGTTATTACTATGCTGGAGATTATGTAAATAAATTGTTGTTTCTAGGAAGCTATGAATATCCTCCTGAGTAAAGTTTCATAATTGTTTAATGTAGCCAGACTTGTCAAATGAGATCACCCATGGAAATATTGCTGTAGTAACTTGCAAAAGGGAGAGGCTTGAAACTTTTGGAGAAATATGTTAATACGTATCTTTAAGGAAATTTTAAGAGCCCATCAGTACACTTGTCAAAGTACATCCCATTTTCCTTTCAATACCAATGATCCTTGCTAAGCAATGGAAATGAATCTACCAAACATTTTAACAAATAGTTTTTAGATACTTTATACCATTGTATGGCTCTTACCTCTTCTCACCTCATCTTGTAGAAGTACTTAACCAGTGCTTAATACATTTTTCAGCTACTTTGTTTAAAGCTAATGGTTTATGGTTTGTAGTTTTCAGAGTTGAATAACTACTTTTTCTTTGAAACATTTTTATTCATTGACCATCATGTATTTAAGTATGCTTTGAACATCCAATATAAACATTTCAACATCTTTGTTGAAATAATTTTGCACGTGACTTCAAAAATATATATGTAACCCAAGAGAGAGTTGCAAGCCTCTTCCAACATAGTACCGGTATGTTATTAGCAAATACATATTTGTTTAATAAATTCATTAATGTAGCTTAATGGTTATAATAGTACAAGTGGTATGAGCATCAGTATTTTAAATATAGCTAATTTTCATTAAAGTTTTCATTTGCCCATGACCTTATTATTATTAATTTTTTTTAAGTAGCTTAGGTTAATAAGCCTGAACTAATTTTTATGGCTAACTCTTAATTTTCTCACATAGACAGTCTTCAGGATTATGGGTAGCCTTCTATCTGGTGATGCTACTTTGCAAGTATTGTCACAATCCCACCTAGAAACTTACTCTTTCAGGATGGGCCAGTGGTTTGCATATAACTGATGACAGGGCATAGTGGTATTTGAAGTTTTGGCCACAGAAATGCAAGCTTATATCACGGTGCTCCCTTTTATTCAGATCAAGCTCACAGTTCATTCTATAGGGCTGAGGTGAGTGGATTGCCTGAGCCCGCGGGTTCGAGACCCGCCTGGGTAGGCGAGACCTCATCTCTACAATAAATAAAAAAATTAGCCGAGCATGGTAGCGCGTGCCTGTAATTCCGGCTACTCGGAAGGCTGAGGCGGAAGGATCGCTGGAGCCCAGCAGGTCGAGGCTGCAGTGGCCAGGAGCGGCCACTGCACTCCAGTCTGGGCGACAGAGTGAGACTCCAACTCAAAAAAAAGAAAAAGAAAACAAAGCTAGTCTTCTTTCTGGAGTTATTCTTTGTCTAGATGTTTATTTGTACAAATGTTTACCAAGTGGGAATTTTTCATTATGATGATTATCATCATTGGTGCAGAAAAGGAAGGTTGCTTGATTTAAAAAATATAGAGATAAAAGTTGCTTCAGGGTCTCAAGATTTACAAAAGTTTTTATGTTGTCTTTCAACAGCTTAATGAATGAAGTGGTTCATACTTCTCCAACTATAGGAAGCAATGTGGAAGAAATAGTTGTGAAGAATACTCATTTTCTTATGTGGGATATTGGTGGTCAAGAGTCTCTGCGGTCATCCTGGAACACATATTACTCAAACACAGAGGTTTGCTAAGATTATTTTTGAAATCTAATAAAAAGGACCAAAAAGTAAACACATGCAATAGATAAGCTGTACCTAAGGCATATTGACAGTTGTCTTTTAGTAACATCCTTTTTGTAAGGAATTTGGATTTTCAAACTTAAAAAAAGACAAGCAGAGAGTGTATTGGGAACTATTATTAATTGAATGCTTACTATTGACCAGGCTCTCTCAGTTCATCCTCATAATAATGCTGTGATATCTCCATTGTTAGAGAAATTTATACTAGGAGAAACTATATAACTTTTTCCAAGATCTCACAACTTTATAAGAAGTCTTATTGGGGAAGAGTAAAGTATTTTAAGCATAAATTACGATTTTCAAATAACATGAACGTTCAACATTTTGGTGAGACTGTATTTTAATTTTTAAAAAATGGATTTGCAGGTCATCCTTCTGAGTTCTCTGTCACTTACTCAATTATTTTATAAATTCAGGGCTAGCCTGCAGAGCAAATCTGGAATATCTTCTATTTCTGTTTTTATTTCTTAGAGGCAGATTTTTTTAAGACGATGCAGTGCTGTTGAGAGAGGTTTATCTTTGAGAATACTAGTGGACAATTGTATCCATTTAATTTTTCTTTGTAAGGAGGCACACCTAACCACAATTTTTTTTTTCTAGAAAGAAACCTTTTAAAAATTGGAGTTGGGGGAGGACACAGGGGAAGAGGGGCATAATACAAGGAATTTTTGGTGAACAACATTGACTTTTTAAATTTAAATAAAGCCAGTGCAGTGGCTTATGCCTATACTCCCAGCACTTCGGGACATTGAGGATTGCTTGAACCCAGGAATTCGAGACCACCTGGGAAACATAGCAAGACCTTGTCTCTACAAAAAAAATTTAAAAATGAGTTGGGCATGGTACCACATGCCTGTTGTTACAGCTACTCAGAGGCTAAGGCAGGATTGCCTGAGCCCAGGACTTTGAGGCTGAGGTGAACTGTGATCATGCGACTGAACTTCAACCTAGGCAACAGAGTAAGACCCTAACTCAAAAAATAAAATAATTTAAAAAAGTATTCTTCTAGATTTGTATTGCAATAACATATGGATATGTGTGTATATTTTCCAATGCAGTGTATAAGTAGTAAACTAGAATGGCATATCACAGGTATTCAGCACCTGTAGTAGCACTTAATTGTTTTATTGATGGGGCAGAAGATGTTGGTAAGCAAATAATATAGGTTAGCTTAATATTCATTTGTACAGTAAAGTAAAATTCTGAAACTAAAGTATGTTAGAGAATAAGAACGATTTAGCATATAATTTATTTAAACATGATAGCTGGTAGCAGTTCATTAAGTTTCATACTTAACTCCTCCTATGAAAAGAGCCGTTATCTTTGATGAATAGGTGGTCAAAGTGGAACCTATGGAATCCATGCATACTGAAAGCATTACAAAATGGTAGTTTTTGAAATTGCTGAAACTCTAAAAGACTTAGTATGGGTCCAGAAAGAGATGTGTAGACTGATGCCATTTGCATGAAGTATTCTTTTAATACATGATTTTTACCAGAATATCAAAATTAACACAAAGAACAAAGGCCTTTATTGCATCCTACCAGCATAGCACATAGCATTTGCAATCTTCATTTCTACGTAGGGATCGTATCTGTGTGGTGTTTCACCGATCACTTTATTCACTTTTGTCTTCTTGCTTTTTAAAAATCTTTTACATTGAGGAGTCATCTTCATTATAATATAAGGAGTTACAGGAGTTACCTAACTAATTCCTGACATCTTCCTTTCATTAACTCACAGTTATAGCCTTATATTCTCTCCAGTCTTCTTTTGCCATGTTGCCTTCTCTTTCCTTTTATCTCTGTCTAAGCCCAACTCAGTTTGTATTTGGATTGTCTCTTTTTCCCTAATTTTAAAGTCATTTCTATAATTTGATCCACCCTTCCTGTGTCAATTTATTTTGCATCTACCCCTACTGTAATAGTACCTTTTAATCTCATTTCTTAACTTTTTATTCTGCATAAGGTGTTTGGTTTGCAGGCTTTTTCTCACTATATCTTCTTATTTTTACGGACTGAAAAGACCTATCTTTTTATTTATTTATTTATTTTTTATTTTTTGAGTTGGAGTCTCACTCTGTCACCCAGACTGGAGTGCAGTGGCCGCTCCTGGCCACCGCAGCCTCGACCTGCTGGGCTCCGGCGATCCTTCCGCCTCAACCTTCCAAGTAGCTGGAACGACAGGCGCACGCTACCACGCCCAGCTCATTTTTTATTTATTGTAGAGATTAGGTCTCTCCACGTTGCCCAGGCGGGTCTCAAACCTACAGGCTCAGGCAATCCACTCACCTCAGCCTCCCAAAGGCATGGGATTATAGACTGAGCCACCGAGCCCGGCTAGGACCTACCTTTCTTCATGTGCACTTTTACTAATAGATTTCTCCAGTTGTCCAGCTTTAATTCATCCCTTTAGTATATAGTAATGCCTGAGTATATGTTTTGATGTAGCACATTTTTTGTTGAACTTTTATTGTTGATAATTGTTTTGTAAAAATGCCTTATGCTTTAGTTTTTTTATGTGTTTTGTCTTTTTCTTTTAAACTAGCTTTTCTCAACACTTTGGGAGACCTAGGTGGGAGGAGTGCTTGAGCCTAGGAGTTTGAGACCAGCTTGGGCAACATGGGAAGACCTCATCTTTACAAAATCTTAAATGCTTCTGTAGTTCTAGCTACTTGGGTGGGTGAGACAGGAGGCTCACTTGAGGACAGGAGGTTGAGGCTACAATGAGCTAGGATCATGCCAATGTACTCCGCCTGGTTAACAGAGTGAGACCATGTCTCAATTACAAAAAACCCAAAAAACTAGTATTTCTTTCTAATAGGCAGGCAATTGTCATATATATAAATAAGTAAGCAATTATTGATTAAATGGATTGTAGTAGAGTGTTTTGAACTTCTAGTGAAAGAGTATTATTTCACTTAATGTACGTTTATTTTTAAAAATCACTTTTTATCACCACTATTTGAAAACTAGGTATTACACAGTATTGTGTATTTAGACATCACTTAAAAAAAAACTTGGACACAGTTTTTATTTGTTGAAGTTACGAGTTATCATTTTTTAAATTTACATTTGGATTTTTCTATTTGACGTGATTCAGTATTATATAAGCTCTTTATATTGAAAAAGAAGATGCTTTATAGTAATGATAGAAGAAAGTACTTGTATCACTTGAATAGTTTTACCAAAAACTTTTCAGCACTCAATTCAGTTTTCTTTCTTTTTGTCTTCTAGTTCATCATTCTTGTTGTTGACAGCATTGACAGGGAACGACTAGCTATTACAAAAGAAGAATTATACAGAATGTTGGCTCATGAGGTAAATTTTGAAAGCAAATCTTTAAAAGAAAATGGAGTAAATTATCTGTACATTGTTTTTGTTTTGTTTTTTTACCAAGATTGATATGATGTTTTATTGCGCAAAATTTTATATATTAAATTGATGAAAGACCTGAAGTCAAAAATTTTCATTACTTTTTCACCCTTGGAAACACCCCTAAACTTGATAATTTGTAAACTGCTGTTGTTGCTATAAAGATTTTTCAAAGTTAAAATTACTTACTCATGCTTTAAAAGTCTGGTACATTTGGGTAAGATAGAGGAAACTTAAGTGTCTTTTCCTCCAAGGATTTATAATACCTGAATGTTCTTTAATTAATAATTTGAGATAGCTTAATTCTAAGTATTTCAGATATATAGAAAAACTTACCATATAAATATCCTGTGAGACCTCTCCAATCTGAGTTCTTCCATTTTCTCTCAGTGATATCCACTATCCTAAAATTCGTGATTGTTATTTCTATATTATTTTATACTTTTACTACATTTGTGTCTAAATTATACAAAATATTATATTTCATATTCTGAAAATGTTATATAGTACTACCATAATATGTACATCTTTCTGTAACTTCCTTTTTTGTTTTGTTTTTGTACAACATTGTGATTTATTCATGTTAATACATACTGCTTTGGTTCGTTCCTATTAACAACCATGATGTCTATGGTTTTCCTTGGTATGAATATACCTTAGTTGATCTGTTTTTCTCTTAATGACCATTTAGGTTATCTCTAATGTTTTGATACTATAGACAGTGCTGGAATGAACTAACCAATGAGCATATGTTATACAAACACTAGTAAATAGTAAGTATTGCCCAGCTCCTACCGCTAGTATTCTTTACATTTTGTAGGAACTCTAGCATTTGGCAGCATACTAACATGTTTTTCCGTTAGAGAGGTGCTCATGTAGTTTTGACTCATATTTGAGATTTGGGTTTTTTTTTTTTTTTTTTTTTTTTTTAGTTTGACCAAACCCTTTAGCACATAGGAAAATAACTTTTAATTATTTGACTTATATTAATATGCTTATGTTGGAGTGACTTATTAAATCGTGGTTACTTAAGATTATTTTTATTTCAATAGAAATTTAAAATTACAATAGTAGTGCCTGATGGTTTTAAAGTAGAGGCATTTTGTTCTAAATGTTTAACTGGGTATAGTTACTATCCTGCTTCATTAGTTTAATTTGAATTGTGATATTTCATGTATTAGAGACATATTATCTTGATTGCAGGATTTACGGAAGGCTGCAGTTCTTATCTTTGCAAATAAACAGGATATGAAAGGGTGTATGACAGCAGCTGAAATCTCTAAATACCTCACCCTTAGCTCAATTAAAGATCATCCATGGCACATTCAGTCCTGCTGTGCTTTAACAGGAGAAGGGTAAGTGTTAGTCTGAGGGACAGTGACTTTTTCCAAATTACTTTCAACTTTTTTAGGCCAACTTGTTTTCTTCCTGGATCTTGTTCTTTTTTTTTTTTGTTATTGTTGTTCATAATTAAGGGTGGTTTTTACATTGTGTCTCAGGCGTATAAGGTTGAAATAATTTTAGTGGAATCACTGACAACTTTTTGTAACTTTAATATAAGTATAATACTTTCTCTTAAAAAGATAAGTTATTGAATTAAGTTTTCAAAATCCAAATTTTTTATATTCTTTGTTCCTTTTATCATTTACTGAGAGAAAACTATAATGTCACCTGAATTAAAGAGGAAGCTTTAAAGAAATTTCACATTTTCTACAAGGACTTAAACTCTCAGCTTTCCACAAGAATAAAAGGACTCCTTTATTATCAGGAGTCTTTTTGGGAGGCATACTTCTAGAAAATCAACATTTGAGATAAATGCTATTGTAGATTATTCTTCTATTCCTAACATTTTGAAAGTGGATATTACAAGGAGAACCCAATGTGTTATATATGGACTACCCAATTTAGATTGGAGAACTTGTTTATTCTCTAATTAACCTGGCCTTCATAGTTTTTCTCTTAGTATTTCTCAGAAATAGCTTGCAATGGGATAGCTATGTGTAGGCGTTTTGACATATACTTTTAAGACTAGGTTGTAAGTATTCCATTCCCTTCCACTTAGAAGGATAACGCTATATTCCTACTATCTTTCTATAATGGTTTTAGTTTCAATTACTTTTAGGTTGGTGCAGAGGTATTTACAATCTTGATGGCAAAACTGTCAAAGCTGTACCTTCAAGATGAGTCTGAAGCAATTTCCCACATTAGTTGACTGATTAAGATCATTAAGTGAATCTCCCATTTAAAAATTCCATCTCTTATAGTGTTATAATTGAATGTTGAAATATATAAATAATGATTCTACTACCAGCCTTTGGGTAAGACTTGGAAATAATAAATATGTTTTCGATTTTTAGGTATATGGCTTTTAATTTTGAAAATACTTCTGTCTTTTATTCAGGTTATGCCAAGGTCTAGAGTGGATGACCTCCCGGATTGGAGTGAGATAACTTTTTTGCTTGAAAGAGACTGCTCTATTTATTCTATGACATGAACATTTTTTCCTAGTACCTTTGGCTGCTAAGGCAGCAGCATGTTTAATTTATAACAACACAAACCTCTATGAGCAACACTTGAATCAAGTGCAGCTGAACTGGAACATAAAAGATTTTTTCTTAACTTTTTTTTAATGCACTAATCTTCATTTGGTTGAACATAATAATGTATAACCATGTTTTCAGCAACAGACTTCTGTTTATTCTAATTATTCAGTGACTGCCTTGTAAGAAATGTTTGTCATGTGTGTAATGTTTTCTGAAATGTTGTTATAACCTTAATGACCAATTGCTTTCACTTCTTGACCACCACTTCCTTCCGACCAGAGAATTACTGGTTTGATAGAGTAGTCGTGGAAATCATCAGGTACTGCTTGCAGACTTTTCCAGCATTAAACTTTTGTTTCCCCTGTAAACCTTTATCTGTGGACAGAACTTATTATCAAGAAAGAAATCTGCCTAGAGGATATATATATATATAAGGAAGATTAAACATCATGAGTATTTGCCTTTAAACTTCTTTCACATTATTGCAAATCATGGAATAATTTTAAAGTTGCTATTAGCATGAAGAGTAAGTAAACTGTTTATCTAAAGGAATTAAGTTCACTCTTCTGCTTAAAACATTTGGTCAAAACTAATAAGGTAAAATATATATTTGAAAGTCCAGCTTTGTTGTTAAATATTTTGGAATAAATCTGGTATTTTAAGACTGTCACATTACTGGATGCATATACAACTATCAGAAGTTATTAAAGCATACCAGAACTAAAAATAAAATAAGACACTTGGAATATATTTTAGTATCAGTTTAAAAACAGCTTTATCATCAGCTAAAATTTCAGCTATTCTTTTTGCAAGAGGCATCACATCTGATTTGGGCAGTAGCTAAAGCCAAAATTTGAACTGTTCATTTTCTTTCTTAAAATTGGAAATTGAGTCTGTCATGGCATTTTTTCACCAGCAGTATATTACTTAGAAAACCATGTGGCTGTCCTTGAATCCGTTTGAAGGTGTTGTGTAACAGACTTGAAACAATTTCCATCTTTGTAGTTATGCCTCAAGTTTTACAGCCTTCTAGGAAACTGCTGAGTTTAATCCCAGCTTTTAGAATATTATTACAAGACTCAAAGTTATTACTTTTTACAACTTATAAATTAAAAAGAACAACCATAATCTATCAAAAGTTTATTTATTGGATAGCATTAAAAAGTTTTTGAGGCAGTTGTCTAATATGAACAATAATCTAAACAGTGCATACCTTAAAAGGGAGGACAAGTATTGTAATTTCAGTTCTGTTCATTCAAATGTGTGATTTTGATGCAATGAAAAGTATAAAACACATACTTAGAGAATACTTCATTTTTGCAGTATTTTTTATTTGGATCAAAAATAAGATTCAGTGTTCATATGAATATCAAAACCTCTAAAAAGTGGTATTTTAATTCAAATATTTTTTGTTTGTAAGTTGATTTAAATTTTGCTCTTTTTTTGGATATACTTGATTTATTATATTTAGTCAAATTAATTTAGTCAAATGTTGTAACTTTTTTTTTCTGATTTCTTTTTAGTGGTAGCACACTCTTGAACTGAAAAGTGGCCAGAGAAAAGCTTTCTATACTTTGGAAAACATTTAACTTTGTTTTGAACCTTTTTCTTAGTGATTCTCTACCAAGTAGAAGATAAGTTTAGCTTAGTTTTTAATATAACCCATAATCAAGAACATGAGAGAAAAGCAGATGTCAATCACTGTGGATGCTTTGTGGTGTGTGTGTGTGAAGAGGAGGGGTTAAGAAAATGCCATTTACCTAAAGCACACTTTGCCTGAATTTCTACTTGGTTATATGGTTTACCATAAACACTGAGGGTGATTCTTGTAAGTCTGTCCTGAGAAAAAGCATATTTAGTACTCCTGTACATGTTCTTGTGAAATAATTATCTGCCTTCTTGTATCTAATAAGATTGGCTGGCTCAGTTTTCTTCTATCAAATTATATCATTATTTTTTTATATTACCACATCAGCATTATATTGAAAGTGTTTTTAATAGTTGATTGTATTTTGTCAAAAACTACTAGTATAGATTCAAATTTACTATTTAATTTTTAAAATACAATTTATTTTATCGTCTAAATCCTTTTAAAAGAATAATTTGTTAGTTTGGGATTAGAAATGATTTATGTTAACCATGTGTTGAAGCTGAAATCAGCATCCAAGTAGATTTTGAACCAATTTGGAAAAGTTCAATTAGGATATTCCAAATAAGATTTTATAAGAGTAGTTTTGTAGATTTTCATTGAACCTTTCCTGTTACAGTAACATGAAACTGATTATCCTTTACTCCAAGAGAATGTTTTGACTCAAGCAAATATCTAATACTAGAGCACTGATTCAGACATTCATTGTAAATCAACCAACTATAAGATACTGTGTGATGAAAATGTAAATTTGTAATTAGTGCCTTTATTCATGTTTTAAGATAAGTTCTCAGTTTTGTACTATATCTGTTCTTTCGAAATTGCATTAGTTCAACAGCAGAGTAACTTGAGTTTGACCTTCCCCTTCACATATTGCCTAGCAGAGTTTCTAGTCAATGAAAGGCAGGGGACCCACCCATCCTTAGAAGATTCTGCCTTTTATTTTTAGTTTGAGGGTAACAAAATTAAATTTTAACTGAAGTATTTTCAATATGTTATACCTAAAATGTAAAACTACCTTGGAAGTTCAAATATATCTTTTCTCTTAATTTTGTACAGGTCTTTTTCTTCATCTTTAAACCTATCATTTTTATTGAGGCCCATATACAAACTCTTAGAGTTAACAGGCCCTTTTATGAGGAAATATACTGAATATTTTATTGTTACTGTAGTTTAATTCCTTAAAACATGGTATATTAATATATATAATGTATTGAAAACTGAAGATTAAATAATTTTTGCTTTTATTTTCTTGTGTTACTATGCTTTAAGGTATAATTACTTTTATTCTATATTCATTAGAGGAAAGATAATAAATTTAAGTTTTATTGCTCAAAACATTTTTTCATGGCTACCAACCCTATAGCTGTAGTCATTTTGATTAAGCATAGTTTAGCTTTCATTATCTATAGCATAAAGAGAAAATATTTATTTTCCTATGGAAACAGTGAGTATTATAAGTGGTGCTATAGACAATATTCTCTGAAGGGTGTCACAAATTGTAAACAGAATTATTTCTGAGTAATTATCCTTATTTAACCATTAACTATGTAGAACCGTATCAGCAGGAAAATGTACTGGTACCATGCCTATAGATGGTTACATTTCATTGGAATTTGTTTTTGAAAACCAACTTTATGAGTCAAACTTTTCATCCATAACTTTAAATCCAAAAAACTTCATATCTCATTCAATTTTAAAGGATCTTTTACATTTTGTCAGGATAAAGTCACTTTAAAGATACAGCATGGTATCTCCTACCTAGTAGAATATTGTGCTGGCTATCTAAAGAAGTGGGTTCACATCTTAATTTGACCATTTATCAGTTGTTTAGTTGACCTTGGACAGTTACTGTCCATCGTCTTTCTTTAGTGTTTCTCAAACTGAGGAACTTACACAAACTAGAACTTTAACATGTCATTTGGTTTCAAAATTCTGAATTTGTATGTACTATTACTGAAATTTAAAAGCTTAAAAAATAGTAGGGCAATGCATTTAATGTGAAAGCAAATTTATATTTATCTGTTATTTTATCCCACCTCTTATTTTATTTAGTATATTAATAAAATCAGGTAGGGAAAAAAGTATCAATTAATAACTGCTATTCAACTTAAATAGGATAAATAGCTAATGACAATGCAAAAGAGAAAACAAGCCATACTGTTAAGGAAATGCTATTAAGCTGCTTATAAAGCACCAGTGTGTGTTGGAAATATTCTCTTCTAGAGAATTTACGTTGCTTATTTTCCTGGCTTTTAGTAATTGAATGGGTGTGGTAGTTTGTTCAGCTTTTATTGCCTTTGATGCCACCCCAAACTACAGTTCTTTTTGGCTTTCCCATGGTGAAAGGATAGTGCAGCCAGGATGTTAATATTTTACAAATGTCTGCATAAATCTGAAAATAGTTTTTCAGTAGCTTCTTAATCCTTGTTCATTTAGTATTACTGTGAAGACTGAAATCCAAAAGACAGAGTCCCCAAAAAAGTATTTTTTAAGAATTCTAAATGTGACCAAAGCTAAATAGAAACGGTCAATATAAAAAATATGTTCAAGGCCAGGCGTGGTAGCTCACACCTGTAATCCCAGCACTTTAGGGGAGGCTGAGGTGGGAGGATAGCTTAAGCCCAGGAGTTCATGACCAGCCTAGACAACATAGCAAGACCTCATCTCTACAGAAAATTTTAAAAAATTAGCCAGGTGTGATAGCACACACTTGTAGTTCCAACTACTCTGGAAACTGAGGTGGAAAGATGACTTGAGCCCAAGAGGTCGAGGCTGCAGTGACCCTTGGTCACACCACTGCACTCCATCCTGGGCAACAGAGTGAGATCCTGACTCAGAAAAACAAACAAAAAAACCTTTAAACTGCTCCATTTTAAATTTAACATAGAAAAATTGTGTTTAACAGAACTAAAGTCAGCTTTAAAGGTGGGAAATGTTAATTTTGAAACTTAGAGGTATGCCTTAGAAATCGTCAAAACACTTGAAAGTGAAGACAAACATGGAAGAAAAATCTTCAAAAGGATATTAGGAAAGACACAATGTGAACGAAAAAGATGAGCCCCCTTCCCCCATTTAGGGCACACTAAAAAGTAGTCTTTTACCATAGAACTAGATGGTCTGTGTTATTTTTTTTTAATGTGGCCAAAAGACTGATTAGGTTTTTAGAATAGTGGCATCTTTTGTGTTTTTAAAGCCAGTAATCTGCATTTTCTCCTGGAAATGGAGAAATAATAAATGTGGAAAATAAAGTTCTAAAAGAATGGGAATATTATTTTGCACAACTTCTAACTTTTTAATTAAAAAATTACCTCATTTTTCAATCCATAAGGTGCTTTGTTCAAGTTTGTGGGATGTTGTACCATCCCATGAAATTCTACACCCAAACTGTATTTGAAATATGCAAAATTCATTGTTAAGGGATAGCATTCCTTGGAAATTTTGTTTTGTTTTATTCTTGTTTACCACCAGCAGGGATAACATGGTATATATATCCGATTCACATATGGTTTCCATGAAAGCATATTCACTATTTAGTTAGTTCAGTTAAATAAGGGAAAGAAAAAAATCCTTAAATTTGATCGATTCTATTATACTGTGAATACGTTTCCATCAATGTTGGTAAGATACCAAATGACTATCAGTTGATTTCAGTTGTATATGATTTATTTGCATGTTTTAGCCCTATTCAAAAGAAACTATAATCATTTTAATGTTACATTTTTCCCTCAGGAAATTCAGGGACTCTGAAAGCTCTATTTTATTCTCTTGGAGTAAACTTTCAGTGTAGTTGTGAAAATTTTTATTTTTTATTTCAAAAAATATTTAGCTGCTATTTCATCGAAAGTGTGAAATAAAACGATAGTCATTATTTTTTTCAATTATGGAATAGTTACAAATTTTACCCTATTAATCTGTTCCACAGAACATAGTTAAAAACAAGAACAACAAAAACAAAAGAAATGACAAAAACTAAAAACAGTTACTGTCTTGCTCTTAGATTTATTCTAACCAGAGCATAATGATTATAAGCACATATTGTTATCTTAACATAAATTCATAAATTGGTGCTTTAGAGCATTAAAGAGGAAGCAGCAGGCCTGGTAGTCAGTATGTTTCTTGCCTCAGAATGTAAAACTAATTTTAAAATAGTGTGTGTATTCATATTTCTGTGCATTTCTTAAGATTTAAATGCAAAATGTTATCCTTCAAGCTTCAGGCTTTCTGAAAAAACTAACAATATCTTAGTTAACCAGCTTGGTCAAAATAAGATGATATTAACAAGGTCAAAATTACTAATTACATCTCTCTGTGGGTCCTCTGGTATTATACAGAGGAAAGAGAAATGCCTTTTACACCACAAACTGTGGTTCTCCATCCCAACCAAGCAACTGAAATGTATGTTATTAGTCCAATATATAAGCATTAACAAAAAACAGAAAGTAAAAGCAAACTAATTACTTGATGCACTCACGTCGTCACTTCTTGAAAATGGTTCAAAGCATGTTTTTCTGATGGGTTGTTTAAAAGACATTTTAAAAATTGTAATATTTCATCACTGTTATGAAATGCTTTTGTATGTTAAGTTTAGGTTGCTGGTACTCATGATTTTCTGTTTCTGCAATTATGTTCTAATGAGTTGCTTGCATGCCTACTTACCCAAGTAAAAGGATGCTGTTTGCTCTGGAATGTTCATCTTTTAGACAGGTTTTGGCTCATTTGCAATCATGGTGCAATATAGTGTAACATTCATTTGTTTTCAGTCAACAGTTTTATTTTTGTCATAATAAATAATTACTTTTCCAATATGAAGTGAACTCAGTGTTTTCTATTAAAGATCAAATCTACTTGAACAGTCTTTGGGGGAATTTTAATTGATAGTGGGGGGCTCATGGAACCCAGGGTCAGGAATATGGCTGAATTTCTAAGACCAAGACTAGAGACTGAACACTGAAGAGAAACCAAGAAGTTATCTTCTATTCGTCTCCTTCCCAATTTTTCACTAGACTGGATTTCTCTGTTTCCTGATCCACATGGCAGATTATGTCCAAGTCTGATAGCTCCTATATTATCTTTGCACAAAGGAGAAGTCAAATTATTGTTAGAAGTCAGATTATTGTACAGTTCCATATTCCCCAGAGAAATTGTTCATTAGCTTGGAGAGGTAGGTCTCTGATCCAAACAACTGACAAAGTAGAAAGGTGCATTTATCAGAGAAGGGGGCTCCCTGTAGTTATTCCAAATTGGTGTGTATGCCATTGTGGGATATAATTTGGATCACCTGCATACTGTGTTTTCTTAAATTGTGGTTTTATATTTTTAAAATTGAGAAATAATCTAATGGTAAGTAGGATAACAAAATTTTACTATATTCATTACTTAGGTTCCTCTGAAGTTGTGATTTTTAATTCCAACCTTTTTTTTCACAGGTCTCTTTTAAGTATGTGATGACAGGTCCAGGCATGATGGCTCATGTCTATAATCCCAGCAACTTTAGGAGGCTTGAGGCAGGAGGATCTCTTGAGGCTAGGAATAATTTTTAAAACTCAAATCATAAAAATACAATTTTAAAATGAGCAAGAGATCTGACACTTTGCCAAGATAAAAGGATGCAAATAAGCACATGAAAAGATGCTCACCATCATCAGTCATTAGGAGAATGCAAATTAAAACCACAATGAAACACCTTTTAGAATGTGCAAAATTAAAGAATGACTAGGTCAATTGTTGCTTAGAATGTGGAGCAACAAGGATCCTTGTACACCAATAGTAGGAATGTTAAAATGGCACAACCATTTTGGAAAAGTGTATACTTACTGTATGCCCTGGCCATTCTATTCCTAGTGTCTCTTGGCTTAACCAAGAGAAAGCATGTTTGTCATATGGGGATGTTCTGGAAGCTTCATGCCTAATAGTTAAAAACTAGAAACAACTAAATGGCCACCAGTAGGTGAGTGAATAAACAAATTGTGACACATTTATACTATGAAATACTTCTCAACTATAAAATGCAATGAACTATTGATACAACAAATTGAATAATCTCAGAATAATTGTGCTGAGTGATTATATAATTCTATAAAAGTACTGTAATCTATAGCAACAGCAGGCATATCAGTTATTTGGGAGTGAGGAGTGGAGCAGAGTTACAGAGGCTCTAGAAAACTTGGAGTGATTAATATTTTCATTTTCTGGATCGGGTGGATGGTTTCACAAATGTATACACAACAAAGTTTTTTTTTTGACTTGGAGTCTCACTCTGTCACCCAGACTGGAGTGCAGTGGCCGCTCCTGGCCACCGCAGCCTCGACCTGCTGGGCTCCAGCGATCCTTCCACCTCAGCCTTCCAAGTAGCTGGAACTACAGGTGCACGCTATCATGCCAGCTAATTTTGATTTATTGTAGA